TAGAAATACAGAATAGAAAAACCCTGAAGGTAGCCTTGGGCTAAAGACCATTCTTCCCATTGCTGAGGGATAAGGCTCAGACATCTCTTAATATTCACTGCATTTTTGCTTAGTTCTATTAAATTTTTTTCATGTTGAGTCAGAGCCTGCTTCTCTCTTCTCTTAATAGTTATCTACATACTCCTAATTGTATCCTTTGATGGGACAATAATTCTGATTCCTTTACCTAAGCAGCCTTTAAAATTTTGAAAACTGTGTTTCTTAGTTTTCTAGACTGCATATCTTTGGCTAGTTTTTTATAGGCACAATTATCTTTTCATTTGTTTGCTTTTTTTTTTTTTTTTGAAAAAGGATCTCATTGTGTAGCCCAGCTCAGCTTTGAATCCTTGAGTGCTGGGATTTCAGGTGTGGACCATCATACCTGGCTTCAGACACAGACATCTAATGGCATTCATTTTTGTTCAGCATTAGGAATTTAGAACTGAATTCACAATCCCAGATATTACATGATCAAGTGGACTATAGGAAACTGCAATAGCGCCACCTCAAGCCTTGTCTGCAGTTTTGCTTTCCACATTTCCGTTACCTGTGGTCAACCATTGTCCAAAATATTAAATGGAAAACCCAGAAGTAAATTGTAAGTTTTAAATTGCGTACTATTCTGAACAGTCAGTTCAGTGAAATCTGGTGCTACCCAATTCTCATGTCAGTAGCCATCCCTTTGTTACTCACTTTCTAGTTATTTAGTTCCCCTCTGGTTTTTTAGATGACTATCAGGTATTAATTGCAGTGCTTGACTTGAAATCACTTTACGTACTTTATAATGACCCCAAAATGATGCTGGTGATTCAAAAATGCCAAAGAGGAGCCTTACAGACTTCCTTTAAGTGACAAGAGAAAAGTTCTCAAATTATGGAAAAAATATACTTAAGTCTGTGTTAATCTATGGTAAGAACTATCTTGAACTTGTGACAAAAGGAACAAGAAATTCATGCTAATTTTGCTGTCATGCTTTAAACTGCAAAAGTGACAGCTATAAGGTATTATGAGTACTCCATTAAGATGGAAAAGGTATTACATTATAGGATCTGGTGCTATCTGGAATTCAGGCATCTCATGGAGATCTTGGAGCATATAACCGTGGATAGTGAGGAGCTGATATATTTATTCTAGTTGTAAAGAGATGATCTAACATATATATGGTTTAGCAGCCAGGCCCTGGAGTTGGATAGACTTGGATTTACATATTCATTAAGACTTCTCTAGACTCAATAGATTAATCCAGGTGAGCTTTTAGTAGTCCATTGACTGGTCCATACAAGCCTTCAATGCTTTGTACTTGCTATGATTAATGTTGTCAACCTACATAGAAAAACAAGCATAGGAGAGTCTCTAAAGAATAATGATTGTTAAGCTGGGTATGGAGACACTTACCTGTGATCTCAACACTCTGGGTGGCTGAAGCAGGAGGATGGGAGTTTGAGCCCAGGTTAGCAACTTAGTGAGAACCGGACTCAAAATAAACAAGGTCTGAGGATATATCTCAGTGGATACCTTCTTACCTCAATAGATACATATTGACATCGTGATCTCTTAATGCTATAATTCAAAGCTTTTTCCCCATCCCCCCGTTACCATTTCTTATACCTCCTTCCCACCCATCTCACCATCTTTAGAGATGGACTTTCTCCTTTAAATATAACTTTCAAAATTGTTAGACCATGGAACATTCCTTTAAAAGCAAATATCATGAAGACTCTAATATACAACAGATGAAAGTGATAAGTATTATAAGATTCAGAGCATTAGTCTTAAAAGTAGAACTTACAAAATTGAAACATACCAAACTAAATCAAAATATAATTTAGATCTAGTTTCAATAGTGTTTATGTTACAAGTTATTGAGAAAACCTTATTGTATACAAACCCTGTAATTACAAATGATTTTTTAAAAATTCATATAATTAGCAACATTTAATTCAAGTTAATTCAGGGAGAATGTGCTTTAAACTGTTGAAGTCTGAAATAAATGGGAAACTTGTTTCATGAAGTTGAATTGCTAACAGTGTCTAATAGTATAACAGAGGTTAAGAGTAGGAAATATTTATTGTGAGGGTCAGATACCTTCTGCCTAAGAGAGAGAGAAGAGGACCTGGAAAGTGGATTACTGAGGACCCACTTTTTAGGGGAAGTTTCAGAGATAACAACTACATGGATACAACATGGTTTAAGGCTATGATCAACCAATAAGATTACAAGTAATACTGATCCAGTGGGGAAGCAAGTCATGAGCAGTGTGGTATGTGGAAAGAACAAACAACTTTTGGGGAAGGGATGAGTTCAAGGGTTGTAGTAACCCACCAAAGTGATGTCTCTCTGTATTTTATTAGACTAGATGTTCCCACTTATTTTAGGCCTCATCATACCATCTTTATCTTGAGGCCTAGCCTCCAACAGATGTGCTTCTGGCCATAGTTGTAATGAATTTTCATCTTTGCATTGATTTTGTTGAGGGCCCAGCCCTATATGACTTCCTGTAATATTTCTGCCTAACTGTAAGCTCTCTGTAAGAATACCCTAGACACCAGTTGCAAGTTCTAGTATGTACTTCTAAGCTTTCACTTTGGAGGTTCCCATAACCCCCTCCCTAGGTATTATAAATGGCTAGAATAACTCACAAAGGTTGGGAAAATACTTACATTTACCGGTTCTTTGTAAAGATCAACTTGGGAACAGAAAATAGTCCAGTAAAAGCTCCACATACTCACTTCTGGACAACAGGTATCAAGATTTTGCTGTACTTTTTCAAAAATTCTTTTTGTAATATGTTATAGCAAATCCCAGACATCAAGCCCTGAGAGTTTTTTACATAGTATTAAAATAATTAAACACATTTCAAGACAAAACTAAAATTGGGCATTTATAAAATATGTGAAACATCTGTGCAGAGTAAAATTTATAACCCACTTCCCAATTGCAATCATTCGTAAAAGAGCCTTGATAAAAATGTGTGAATGCTATGAAAATGATTCCAGTGATGCTGAGCTCTTTGATCCTGGATTGAGACTAAGAGCTAAAACTAGAGAATCATCATGGAATATCCTTTAAAATCATGAGATATGATGGAAACCCATTTACCTAGTTTTCATTGCTACTTTATTATTATTTCCAATAGCTAAATCAGAAAAGCACTTAGTTTATGACTTACAAAAATTCCTTGTTTATACTACTCCAATAATTAGCAGCATTGATTCTTTTAAAACTCTGATTATTGAGCTAGGGAGTTAGCTCAGTGGTCGCAAGGACCTGGGTTCAATCCCTAGTACTACATGCCATGCGTGCCGAGGAACCCAGGGCGTGCCATGGCAGCCACCAAAACTGGGTGTGATAGTATACACCTGTAATCCCAGCTCTGGAGAGGCTGAGACAGGAGGATCACTGTGAGTCCGAGCTACATAGCAAGACCCTGTACCAAATAAGTAAAAGATTTTTTTAAAACCCTCCAATTATTTTTCAAAAGTTACTGAGAAAATTTCTGGCCCAGCCCAGAGACAGAAATTTAAAATAATAAAAAAAATTGCTTAAAAAATTGCTTGGACTGGGGAGATAGCTCAGCAGCACGATTGTCTGCCTGACAAGCACAAGGTCCAGAGTTTGATCCCTGGTACAGAAAAAAAAAAAAATAAACAATTGCTTTATGGTTAACATTGCTGTATGATTTATGTCTTCATAAAATAAGGATTCTAGTTTCTTACACCCTTGGTCCTTTTTTTTCTTTCTAATGTGGAATAAGATGCTATTTAATTTTGTTCTTCCATAGCTAATATTTTTATGTATATGCTTTAATGATTTTTTTCTCTACAAGATGTTTTGGACAATTTCAATAAATAAATAAATAAATGAAATAAGGGTTTTTTTTAACACCATATCTATACCCAGTTTTTAAAATTTGCTTTTTTGGGGATTGGGAAGATAGCTCAGTGACATAGTAAGCACTTGCCTGGCAAACACAAAGTCCTGAGTTCAATCCCTGGTTACCAAAAAAAGAATTCTATAGAATTTTCTTTTCTATTTGGTTCTTCTAGATTTTATATTCACAGAGAGGTAATTCTGAGCTGTTAGTGGTTTTTCATTTATTTTTGGAACAGTTTGATTATTTAATTCTGCTCTGTGGAGTAGGAAATACTTATGTTTTTAATATCCAAAGATTCAGATCTGCTTACTTCACAAAATTCTGATTCTGGATATGTCACACTGGTTCTGGGAACTGTCTCAGTGCTAGTTGCGTCTAAAGATTCCTCCAGTCCAATTTCAACCTTCAGAATATTTGATATCACACAGTTCAGTTTGCAGTAAACCCTTGATCTTCTTAGCCTTTTTCTAAGGAGCTATATAGCATTGATGTAATTGTTATTCATATCAGTTCTTTTTTTTATTTTTATTTTT